TAATTGGAAAAGAGAATAAAAATTTTTTTCAGATCCTCTATTCATTTATTTTTGTGAATCTCAGAGATTCTGAATAGACACACACATTATTGTGAAAAAATGGGTTCCTTAAAAAGTTTCACTCCTGCATGGTCCTAGTATTATCATTATGTGGGTGATGTAATTTATCAATTTAACTTATTTATGAAATATTATGAATATTGTGATAAATATGTACACATCAGCAGTGACAAAGGTATATTGTTTGTGTTCAAGGAAAGGATTAAAAAGTTAAGTTTATATTTTTTATCCAACTAAAATATAGAAAAAAATTATTTAAAGACATATTAAGTTGTTGTTAATGAAAATAAAATGTTGCAAACATTCATCAATTTTTGCCTTTTTGATATTTTGTTCTTTGAATGATTCTCTCTCATCTCAATTTTAAAAAACCTACAAAGTGAACATAAATTATATATATAGGGATATGTGTATATGAAAAATAATAATAAGTATAATGGTTCTAATAAGCATCAAAAAGCAATTGATTTTTTAGAAAAAGGTTGTAATTGTGATTGTTCTTCAAGAATTCCCAAGGAAGAATTTGCAGAATTAAGGGAATCCTTTCAAGCTCTTTCTAAATCAAAACAAGACATATTTTTAATGGCCCAACTTAAAGCAATGGATGGTGGATCAATAAGTGCTAGTAGATGCCTTAAAAAGAAAACCAGATCTAATAAAAGAACTTTCTATCATTGGGATCACAATACACTTCTTTGTCAAGAAACTTATCTCAATATGCTAGGAATTGGTAGGACTTATTTTGAAAATATCAGAAATCACCTGATGAACAATGGTCTTCTACCAAGAATTCATGGCAATATTAAAAGGTTGCCTCAATGGAAAACTAAGATGGTGATTGATAAAAATGTTTCAGGAATAGTAAAGAATTTTCTGGAAAATTATGCAGAAGTTCATGGATTACCAAGTCCAGGAAGAAGTATCAATAGAATAACCCAATCAATTACATTCTTACCAGCTGAAATGGGTTATAAATCTGTGTACAGGGATTTTCTAGCTGGTCTAGAAGAAGATAGTAATTTGAAATCTTTGAAATATGATGCTTTCAGAAAATTATGACATCAATTGACACCAGAAATTCAAATTATGAGTCCAAGGACTGACTTGTGTGATACTTGTCAACATTTTCGAAATGGTTTACATTACAATGCTCGCCAAGAGGAAGAAGCTAAAGATTTACTCAAAAGATTTAAAGAACATCTGTCCAAGGCAAGATTAGAAAGAAATTATTATAATAAAAACACCAAATTAGCAGAAGAACAAAGAAAATTAGTTGATCAAAATTATTTAAAGGATAAAACAAAATATTGTAGTATTGATGCTACTGCTCATTATAGTTATGATTGAGCTCAAAATGTTCATGTACCACATTTAAATCAACAAGTAAGTAAGATTTATTACCTTAGTTCATGTAAGTTCATTTATTTGGTATTCAAGATGGAGCAGTAAGAGAACAAATTAATTATGTTCTTGATAAAGATGAAATTATAGGAAAAGGACCAAATGGCACACTTAGTATGATCTTTGATGGAACTAAGAAATTGAATAAAGGTGAAAAACATTACTTGTGGTAATGCTGGGGACAAAATAAAAATAATGTAAGAATTTGATTTTATTTATATTTGGTAATTTGTGGTTATTATGAAAGTGTTGAATTGAATTTCATGATTCCTGGACATACCAAATTTAAATGTGATGGTAGTTTTGGCATAATTAAAAAACTCTACAGAAGAACAAGAGTAGATTATCTATATCATGTGGTTGAGCTGGATTAAATAAAGCTCAATGTTATGAAGGTGGAAAAGGTTTCCAATACTTAGATATTAAAGCAATTTTGGGAATTCATTTTAAGAAATTACCAAGTATACAGAAATATCAACATTTTCTTTTTGAAGCATCTAATCTTGGTACAGTAAAAGTTCAAGAAGCTGCTAATGGACCTTTAGCTGAATTCAATTTATTGAAAATCAAGAAACAGATATTTTGGAAGAAATTAGAGCTTTATCCATTTTAGTATTAATGCCACTTCCTTTGGACTATAAAATACAAGAATATCTTTACCAGAATACTCACCCATTTGTGAAAGATGAATACAAAGATATTACTAGCCAAGTTTCAGGAAAAATCTGAAGAATGAAGTAAAAAACAGAAACAAGAGTTATTGGATAAGATAAAGAGTTTAGAAGAAAAAAATTAAGCAGCCAGAAGAATGGTCAAATTGTTCAAATTGAAGTTAAAGAAACTAAGAAACGGCCTTGATTAAAAATAAGAAAGTAATTTTTCTTTGTATAATTGAAATTCATTCCAACTATCAAAAAAAATGGTAATTATTCTCCTTTTAAAGATTTTTGCTTTTTATTAGGTAATAATGCATCTTCGTGCTGCTTTCTTTTTCTAACATTTATTATTTTTCTTTCTTCTTGGTAAATTTCATAGGTAATTTTCATTTATTTTGAAAATATAAGGAGCAATTTTTTCACATTGTTCCTCTTTTAAAATACTTCTAATAATTCTCCGGTTCCATAGTAGGCCTAATGTAAATTAACTTTATATTAACTATTTTTATCTTGACAAATATCATTGGTAATGTAATTGTGATATTAAATAAATAATATTGATCCCTGAAATACTTGGTAATACCAATATTCGCTTTGTCTGGTTTTGTTGCAGCATGCTCCACATATATATGTAAGATGCATAAAGTATAATGATAGATTCTCGGATTACTGGACTGTTTGAGTATTAATACACTTCACAACGTCCTAAAAATTGTATATGAATTGTGCATATTATGCTTGTTCAATCATTGAATAATATTCAAAGTAGTATCATCTGAACCAATACAAACCACATATACTATGATTAATTCTACAGAAAACTGTTCTTAGTTAAGTTGATTGTTGTTATATAACATCTCAACAACAGTGTTGAAATTGGACGGTCGTATATTATTATGTCCAATTGGATAAAATTCTCAACTCTGCTCAAGTTGAACACTGGATCATTTTCTGCAAGCATTTAAATAAAAGTTTTGAGCAAAAAGGAAAAAAAAAGTTAATAAATAGAATGAACAATATCCATTTAACGCATCTTTCTGACTACTAGAAGCTTCATTGCCGCGGTATTTTGGGCTCTCATCCACTGAGCAACTTTATTTAAAAATCTAGTCTTACAACACCTATTATTGGAACACCGAAAAGTTTTTTGTGAATATGCTGTATTTATGTGATAATTTCCAATATCTTATGTATCAAACAATTTTCTGTATCCTCAAAAATTAAATCTTATAACTTCACGCATAATAAACTCTTCAGCGTTTTTGTTTGAAATATGTGGAGTTGAATAAGATAGGAACATAATGGAATTGATTTTCTTTAATAATGTTTAAAGCTGATAAAAATAGAACCAGAAAGGACTTTCACGCCATCTATAATCTTCCCAATTTGTCTGCATATCTTTTTAATTTATTCCTTGCTTGTACTAATTCTCTTTAATAGTGGCCATCTTATTTTATGAAATTTAATAACGAGCAGATCTTGTTATTTCAATAATATGAAATTTAAACCAGCCAATCAAAATGAATTTTGCACCCAAACACCCTCCATATTTGATTTCATTCACATAATCTCAATACAACATGTATATAATAAGGAAGAAGAAAAGCATGTTAAAAGAAATAAAAATCGCTGTTGATCATTTTTGTCCAATCACAAACAATTTTCCGGTGTGACTTTTATTATTGCATCGTGCTACAAATAAAACTAATTCAAAATTACAGAATTGCACAAAAAAAAATTTTAAATATTATTGACTTGGAAAAAAAAATTTATGTTTTTCATATAAGTTATAATTTGTGATAAATAAAAAAAGTTGGTTGATTTTTTATTAAAACAATAAAAAAATACATATATTTAAATATAATCAAAGTAATTATTTTTTTATTATATTATTTTTTTTGTTTATAAACCTAAATCTATTTTAATATTTAGGTTGACCAGAACAACAAATTTTTAAAAATAAATAAATCGGTGAATTTGTAGTATTTAAACATAATAATATATATTATTATTCATTATTTAGGGAGTTTTTATCTAAAAATGCCTACCAACAGTAACATCGTCAAAACAATCAATAATCCTAATCGGTTTGGTCCACAACCAGGTGGTAGTTTAATGAATCGAACAGGTTTGAATTCTTTGTAATTTTTGAGGAAAACCAAATTAAGAAATAAATTATTATCCTTTAAACAGAAGAATTATTATTATTACTGTTATTAAATAAAATTTATTTGTCCAGTAAAAGAGAATTCAATGATATATTATTATTATTTTAGTACCAAACCCGGCTCAACAAGCTAACCGTCCAGGACCCATGAATTCTGCATATTTATCATCTTCGATGTCTCAAAGAACAGTTGGAGCAACGCCAATGATGAAGGTTAATGGAAGAATTGGTATGAATTGTTTAATTAATTTTCAAACCATTCGATCTATTTAATTATTACAATTTATCCATTTTTTAGAAGATCAAAGGTTTAGAAAATAAATCATTTATTTTGAATTTATATTTATCTATCTATCTAATATGTATATTATTACTATTATATAATTTATATAGGTAGTAATAATGTAGCATCATGGAATTATACACCAGGTTCGTTAGGTTCAACACCAAGTATTACAACATCGAGACAACAACAATTACCTTTTACACAATATCAGAATGCAATACATACTCTACATCCTCAGCAACAACTACATCATCATCAGCAAAATGATATATTAGATCTATCTGAATTTCCTGCTTTAGGTAGCAGTAGCAGTAATAGTAGTAGTATTACGTCCAACAATACTACTACCAATATGAACACGTCATCGAATAATATACCTCAGCAGCAGCAGCAGCAGCAACAACAACAACAACAACAACAACAACAACAAATGAATTCAAGTGGATTAGGGTCGTCTTCAGAACAAGATAAAAAGGTGTGTATATTACACTTGAAAAATATGTGTATATATATATATTAAAATATTATATAAAATATATATATATACATGTAAAAACATTGAATTTTTGATTTAATAAAATTTAGAATTATTCTACGAAAGTAGGAGGCAATGTATCAATGATACAACCATTAGCTTCTTCTGGTGTACCTAATGCGTACTCGATAAACGTACCTGAAACTCCATCATTAACTTATTCCTCGACAACAACACCATCCGCTTCATCAACATCTTCGTCGTCATCGACAACGATATCAACAAGCTTACCTAACTCTGGGCCATTCCCGCCGTCATCATTATCGTCAGGTATACCGAACTTACAATCGAACATGGTGATAGGTGGAGATATCAGCAACAACATCAATAATACTAGTAGTAACAATAATACTAATAGCAATAATAGTAATGGGATAGTTGTACCAAGTGGACAATCTATGAATTCGACAACATCAACATCTGTAACGACATCAATCGATGGATATGGATTACTTGGACTATTAAGTGTAATACGGATGACAGATCCTGATTTAAACATGTTATCATTGGGCAGTGATTTAACATCACTAGGTTTAAATTTAAATTCACCAGAGTATGTACTTATATTATTATTATTATTATTAAAATAATTAGAATTATAATACATAATAAGAAAGTATTCTTAATAAGTAATATATTATTTTATATAGTCCACTTTATGCCACGTTTAGTTCGCCATGGGCAGATAATAATCAAGCTATTGGATTTATTGAACCCGAGTATCATCTTCCTACATGCTATAATGTACAACCACCACCACCTGCACCACAAAAAATAAAATCATTTTCTGATGAGACATTATTTTATATTTTTTATAGTATGCCAAAAGATTTTTTACAGGAAGCTGCCGCATATGAATTGTTAGTAATTATTATCAATATTATTTAAATTTTATTTTGGAAAAAATTTTTTAATAAAACAGATAATTTTTATAATTAGATTTAATCGAAATTGGAGATTTCATAAAGATTTGAAACTTTGGTTAACGAAAGAACAAGGAGCTGAACCATTTAACAAATCTCAAGTATTTGAACGTGGAACATTTATATTTTTTGATCCTAGTGCATGGGAAAAGTTTCCCCGGGAAATTGTTCTTATGTATGATTCATTAGAAGATAAAGATCAAGCAATGTATTTGGAGTAAAGGCTATTCATTGCATTTTATACAACGAAGAAGATGCATAATAAACCATATTAATATGATTTACAAACGTATACAAATTTCCATATTAATACATATATAAATATATGGTATAGAAAACCTTTTGCATAAATTTTGTGTAGCTATGATTTAAATTACTTTTTTTCTTTTAGCTACATTAGCTTATTATTTAAATTTAATTTGGAACATGTACAGTCGAACCTTATCATATCAGACTATAATTAAATTCTTGTCATTACAGATTTTTCTTCACATATTATTAATATATATATACCAAATCTAAAATCTGAAAGCAAAAGCTTCCATTTAAAAAGTAAAATTAAAGGAACAAAATTTGGGGAAATAGTTTTTTTAACGCGTCACTTCATATTTTTTTTAAAAAAAAGTCATCAGAAGCACGAGCAAAAGAACAATATCGAGATGAAAGAGACGGATAAGTGCTGTTATTAGTTATTAAAAACAACGGTGGTTATCGCCACTTTCACTCTAAGAACGGTTAGCCCGCCAGATTCCGAGGTGAATCTGAAAAAATAAAAAAAATATTCTTTGTCAATTTCTTGGTTTTTTATCTCTTCATTTATCCGAACGATAACCCTTTGCTTGTATTTTTCTGGATTATCAACAACTAATTTTTCTCTTATTTTCTTCTCTTCGACTAAGGCATTAAACTTCTCTTCGTCAGTTCCCTTCCCAAAGAGAAATGCATAAAACTGACCAACTTAAAGAGAATTTGGCAACAAAAACTTTGGTGAAATAAAAATTCAAGAGGTCAAGGGAAAGAAATATTTTAATTATTTTGTTTTTCTTTCTTTTTAAAATTAACCATTACTATTAATATGAATAAATAGCTAACAGAATTTTGAAGTCGCTAAAACAGTTGGTATAATAAGTAGTATGAATATTATTTTATGAGTAATGGAGTTTTATACTCCAAAGACATAAAATATAATTTTCTTGCAATATATACCAATCTGACTACAAGAAAATAACGATGACAAAATATTTGGATGTCATTTCGTAAAAGGCCATATTCCAGATGAAAATACCGCCATCAATTGAAAATGTTGAATACTACTATCATTTAGTATCGTTAATGATATTTTTTTTGTTTTTTTTCCATTCATTATACACTTACACTTGGTGACAAAAGTTTGCATCCAAAATTTCTTCTGAATTTATTTCAAAACTATACTAATTAAATATTGTGATCTTTATATCATTCGAAAGCTCTTGTCCTTGAGAATATGTTCGTGACATTAAATTTTGAAGCTTTGTCATAAATAAAAAATAAAAAATGATGTAAAAATAGCAAAAAAGTTTGCTTTTAAAAAATGGGAAAGAACTACGAATTTAAATTTAATTGACAGTATGCACTGAAGGGTTGGATATTGCATTGTCAACAATCGGCTGGCCAACTAGATATTAAATATAGTGCAAGACACCTAGTCCCACAACTTTTTATTGGCCTTGTAGATCCTTCTCTAACTCCAAAAATGGAAATGT